CTCTCTCTCTCTCTCTCTCTCTCTCTCTCTCTCTCTCCGCCACTCGGCCGCCCAGAGGGTATGCCTATGGTGTACCCGATGCAGGCTGCGTTGCGGGAGAAGGGAGGGGATATCGGCCCCTTTCACCGCCACGCCACGCCAGGCCACGCCGCGCGCAAACCTCCGCCTAACCATCAAGCGTCTACCCGACGAGGGACGCCGTAAGCTCGCACCGCCGGGCCCGGCCTGTGTCGTGTGCTGTGGCTGAGGTGGAGTGTGTGACGTTACAGCTCATTGGTCAACGCGTGGCGTTTATTGGACAATGATTCTCTGTCTGTCACTTTTGTTCCAAAGAGAGTGCAAAACTCTTCCGGTGTCCCGAGAGCGCAGTTTTAAGGAGCAGATTTCAGATCGATGTGGTTTGTAGCGCATAGCTATGTCCGATCAGGGAGGCTCACATATTTGGTTTCTGTGTGTGGAGCCACCTTTGGCTTGACACTGCTTGTAGCGAGGGCTGTAGCTAGAGCTGTAGCTATAGGGCAGTAGCGAGCTAGGGCTGTAGCCTGCTGCGCGCCGTTTGCTGGGTGCTCGCGGCATACCCCCGGCATGGTATGATATGGCGAGCGTACCTGTGTTTATAGCTATGGGCAGGGCGTGCGGCGCCAGTGTCGGGTCGTGGCGCGGGGCGGGGCGGGGGTGTTATGGGTGCAGACAGAAGGGCTATATCAGCTGCACCACTTTCCCCCTGGCTCGCGGGTCCCCGTCGTCGTGTCGTGCCCTGCGAAAGTGTGCGCCAGTCACACACGTTTTGGGTAGTAGGCCGTGACCTTGCAGGGTTGTTTCCTTCATGGACCACATACCGGGCCGTTTCTTTTGCACTCGCCCCTGGAGGAGACGGAGGGCGAGCAGCCGGCACACGGGCAAGACAATGCCCGATGTTTTGAGAGACAGGGAAAAACTTTCAGTAAGAGTCATCAGATTTTAGGGAAGTCTCCATTTAAAAAATGGGGGAATTTTCCTCATTATGTGAAGAGGCTTTCACGAGATCTAAGGAGTTTTACCCTAACTTTGGAAGTTCCTC